GCCAGGGAGGTTCAGTGCACAAGGATCTTGGTATCCACATGACATGCTCCACTCCTGGATTTTATAGACAGTGAATCTGAGGGGCAAGTGTTGGAAACAGGGGTGTAATTAGGGGAATGCTGTGGCCCTTCATACTATACACCCAGCTGAAACTCAGGACTAGGAAGGAGCAGTCTTGGTGTGAATAAACAAGATAGACCGCTCTCTACTTTACCCAACCCCTGCCCCTCAAAAAAAAAAAAAAAAAAAAAAAAACCTCAAAAATTTTAAAGGAGAAAGCCATATTTTCAAATTGTTATATGGAGAGCTCCTGCCTACAGACACTAACCTAGGAATTACTTCATTTAAGGATATATCTCCTTAGCTCACACTTTTCACTGTTCTGTTCTTTGAATTTTCTCCTTAACATCATCTGTCTTATCCTATGTGTTGAAAACTCTTATCCTGGACTTGGACCCCACTGCCCCATTTATTGCTGCTGAACATTTTACCAAGAGCAGCCAGGGAAGGTTTTAATCTATGAACCAAGGATCCACCCAATCTGCTTGAAGATATATAAGCTGCAAAGTTGAGAACCAAGAGGAAAGCTTTAATCATGCAAGACTTAGAGGACTGACAGAATTTAGAATAATTGTTCTCCTATTATAAGGGTCGCTATGGGTCGGAACCGACTTGACGGCACTTAACAACAACAACAATTATAAACTTAATCAGATGCCAAAAGTCAACATCATTAATTACTTTAAAATATTTACTTTATTTTTACTGAGAGGTAGAATCAGAACTTGCCAGTTAATTTTTAAGAATATTACATTTGACTTATATGTAGAGGCCATTTAAACTGAAAAGATATCCTTTGCTGTTGCTAATTTCCTTCCACAGTAACAGTGGTTTGGGACATGGGAATTATGTAAGGGACTGTAACTATTTGGGATGTTAATATCTAAGTGCAAACAGTAAGAACTTTAGCATGAGACCAACTTTTATCTTCAGTTATCACAGTTATTCTTCCATATGAGCATGACACATGCCTTCCATGTTATAGGATAGTAATCTGAAAAGTTCATAAGAGGGATAATAATAATCTCACATATTTGGCAGACTACAAAATACATGAAGATCACAACAAAACCCCTGTCATGTGAAATGGGAGTTCTGAGACACCAAAATTTTCTTGAAATTTGCAAGGGAAATTTTTATTTAGCATTTTAATTCTCATGCTTACAAAGATCTTTATTTAGCATTTTAACACTTATGCTTACAAAGCAGTATTTATCTAATGGTAAAATTATGCAAAAAAAGACTAAAGTCCCACCCCCTTTCCACACATTAAAATATAAGACCAATAAATACATTAACAAATAATTTCATTATGATAGAATTAGTGTGGATATTTGTGGGCACTGTCTGCATAAAACATTAAACATGCCTGTTGAGTCACTAGTGTTGCAAGTGCACCCCCAGCACTGTCTCCTGAAATACAGATTTGGGTGGGATCTACTCCATATTTTGTAAGAATATCATCTTGTAGAAAACGCTTAACTGCGGCAAAGACATCGTAAGTTGCAACAGGGAATTTATACTGAGGAGCTACTTGATAACTTAAAAGGAAAAAAAAAAAAGAATGTTATAAAGCAACAAAATATGTCTGATTAAACCTTGCTTATTTGCATGCAAGTATACTCATTTTAACATCAGATTTTTCAAAACCAAATTGTGGCAGGATTTACTACTCATAGCAATCAAACCTGGATTAATAACTTCTTTTTCAAAATAAAAAGGAGATTCTGGTATAGGATGTTTAAATATTGGATCTGGGGGAAATGGAAGATATTGTATATTCAATGCATACAATTTTATGTAAAATTATCATCAGAAATTAGTAGTGAAGATTTCCTCTAATGCTAGATGATTTCCTCCACTACTAGATAATGAGAGTGATTAAAATTTTTTTAGAATGGTTATTGGAAGGGCACAATAGAATTCTAAAGCAGAAAATTAAAGAGCAAATAAATTGTAGATGCTGCTTTAAAAATTAATGTAGGCCAAAATTTGACAAAAATGGTATGTCTCACTTTTATCATGGGGACTTATTTAAATTGAAGCTTTGAAATATAAATAAGATTCCTGTAGGATAAGCATTTGACCACAGGTTGGTTTAAACTACAAGGTCAGTGGTTCAAATTCACCAGCTGCTCCTCAGAAACCCTATAAAGGGTAGCTATGGGTAGGAACCAATTCAATGACACTTAACAGCGGCAAAAAAAAAAAAAA